CTTCTGTGAAGCAACTGTGCCGATGGAGCCTGTGCCGCACAGGAACAGCCGGAAGGAGCCGGAGTGACTGCAGTGGATGACTCCCTGCTGCAGGGACAGAGGCATCTTCCAGGCTGTTCTGCTGTCTGGAGAGCTTTGCTGCCTGGTGGGGACTTGCATCTGAGGTTCAGGGAAAGAATTGCAAAGCTTGTCCACCTGTCTCGCTATCCCCCTCTGCTGCTCTTCCGTGTGGGCACCACAGTACTGCCGAGCACAACTTTGAAAGTATCAGATGGGATTGCAGGCCGCTGGGGATTCTGTTCAGGAGATTGGGGTCCTGACTTCCTCGGCCCTGCAAGTGAGGGCAAGGATGGAAGTAGGAGGAGACAGATATGTCAAGAGAACACCTGCTAGTGTCAGCAATGGAGTTTTGGTTCCTGTGATCATAGGACCTTGTTTGAAGGTTAATAAGTGTTCTGAAGAGTTGGGATCCAGCTCATTAAATCGGGTGCACGCGTCTTGGCCAGCCAGCCTGATAGTGAGGGCTTTACACCAGAGAAGGTGGAGAAAGGGGAGATCTACAGGGACCATGCAGTGAGCAAAACAGGGCTCGAGTGRGGACATCTCTGGGAATTGCATGCAGCTAAAGAAATTCAAGACAATGTGATGGGGAAAGCTCTTGTGCTTCCTCTGGGAAATCAAAACGCTTAGATAGGTTCTCTGAAATGCCTGCACACAGTGCATGCAGTGTGGGAATAAACAGGAGGAATTGAAGATCTGTGTACAGTCACAGGGCTATGATCTCATTCTACTTGCTGAGACATGGTGGGGTAGCTCACATGTCTGGAATGCTGCCATGGATGGCTAGAAATCCTTTACGAGAGACATGCCAGGAAGGTGAAGAAGAGTCATCCTTCATATGGAAGAGCAACTGGAATGTATGGAGCTCTGGCTAGAGGTTAATGTGTGGRTAGGGTAGCTTATGGGTAGGGAGTAAGGGGCGGACTCATGTGGGTGACTTTGCTGTGGGCTTAGACTACCTGATCAGAAAAGGATGAGTAGTAGATGAGGTGAGATGTGTTTTACACACAGGTGGAAGTCGCTACACAGTCATTGGCTCTGGTTCTTATGGTGGACTTTAACCAACCTAGTGTCTGCTAGGGGAACAGCAAGAATGAAACAATCTAAGAGGTTCCTGGAGAGCATCATCCGGATCCTCTCATCAGCGGAACCAGTGAGGAGTAATGTGCTGCTGGACATTACACTAACAAACGTGGAAAGGCTGGTTAGAGATGTAAAGTTTGGTTTTCAGTGACTATGAAATGGTTAAGTTTTGAGGACCTTGCGAGGAAGTGTCAGGGAAAACAAGCTCTAGAAGAATTCATCCCAGTGAGCAAAAAGTCAAACAAAGCGGGCAGGAGACGTGCGTGGATTAACAAGTCACTCCTGGCGATAGTCAAAGAATAAGCAGGTAGTGGACAGAAGGTGAAAAAAGGGACTGGCCAGTTGTGAGAAATATAGAGATGTTATATGCACTACTGTACTAAGAATGCCAAGGCTCCTTTGGAGTCTAATCTGGCAAGGGATGACAAGGACAACAAGAAGAATTTATTGGAAATCATCATTATCAGAGGGAAGACTCAGAAAAATGTGGGTCTGCTGCTAAATGGGGTAGGGGCTTCAGTGACAAAAGATGCAGAGCAGACAGACACTGAAAGAGAGCACCACTAAGATGCTGAAGAAACTGAAGCACATTTCTTGCATAGGAAGGTTGAGAGCCTTGGAGTGTTAAGCCAAGAGAAGAGAAGGCTGTGGAGGGTCCCTTTTCGATGTGAAAGGATAAAGAAGATGAGGCCAGGTTCTTTTCAGCAATATGATGAGGAAGGTCTGTCTGAGGGAAACAGCATTAATGTGTGAGTAACCGAGCGCTCAAGTTTCCTGGAGAGGTTGTGGAATCTCCYTGAAGATTCTCACAAGCCATCTCAGGTGGACCTGGGCAGTGTGCTCTAGGTGATGCTGCTTGAGCAAGGTGGCTGCACCAGGTCACCTCCAGAGGTCCCTTCCAGCATCAACCGTTCTGTCAATCTGTGCATGGTTTTTATAACATATATTTCTTATCATCCAAATTACTATTCAAAGCATATTGCTCTGTAACTGGCACTTCCCCTTTCTTCAGGATGGCCAGAAGTCCCAAGACCCAGTCAAAGAGAACAGTTACTGCCATTTTCCTTTTGATTTGATAGGTCTGTAGCTTTTCTCTGCTAGTATTTTTTTTCTACTGAACTTTTTGGAGTTTAGCTGTTATAGGACTTCAAGAAGGAGGAAAATGTAAATTTTTGGATTAAATTACTGATAGCTATTTCTTCAAGAATTCTTCAATTTTAGTTTGAAAAAGGTGATTTTTCAAAAAAAAAAAAAGAGAACTGATACACTCTTTGACTTCTCTTTTCCCTTCCACTTCTCAAAAAGTCTGTTCAAGAGAAGAGAAGGATGAAGACAGAGACAAGACMGATGTTGCTGTCTGGATTCCAAGGTGGTGGTGGTGCTTTTTTCTTTCTGAAGTCAGAAAACTCAGAAGTGTGACTGCTTTGAACCACTAGTAGTAATGATTGACTTCACTATTTTAGTTTCCAAACTGTGAAACAARCTTCTGGCAGATGCCTTAAAGGCAGTCTGTTTGGCCGTGTTGGATAAAGGATTATTTTAAACCAAAAATAGTAAGTGTAATTCCTTACTTACTTTTTTCCAGCTATTATTTGGATCCAAATCCTTCAGCCAAAGAATAGCTCAAATATAAGGGAGAAGAAAAGGAGAGGTTATGTACTCCAAAATATACTTCTGGATTTTGCTTTAGATTTCTTTGCAGGGGTCTGCCTCTTATAAACTTAATACCTGACAAATCAGGAAATGCAAGTGTAAAATCTGAGGAAAAGTTTCATTTGAGATTGCATCTTAATTTGCTGTGCAGACTCAGTGCTATATTAATGATACAACGTGTGACATATTTAATGTAAGACTTGTTTGCATAAATTAAAAGAAATAAAAGGACAAATTTTATTCTCAGGGTGCATGAATATGACTTAAATTGCTTTAATTAGAGATTAAGTAATAGAAATGGAGTTGTTCAGAGGAGATAATGAAGTACTGTGAAGACCTTAAATAAGTTTAGGTTTCAAAGTATTAATTTTTTTGGTATGTGAATTAAAATTTTTTTCTTGCTTGCTTTCTCTTAGGTGTAGATTTTAATTGTAGTTCAAAACTAATGACGGAGTCCTATCATTTAAGAACTTATAATTTGATTATAATTGTTGATACTCTTTATAAAAATAATTTTAGTAATTAGGAATAGTCATGGTATAAAATGTGTGTGTATGTCAATGTGAGAGGTATGTCAATGTATGAGGTTTAGCCCCAATTCRTTTTTGGAGATCCTAATAATGTCCAATAATGATTTTTATATTTTAATAATACTTTTTTGTTTGCAAAAATGTTTGCAAAATACTGGACAGTTTCAGTCTACCTGTGTTGCTACGGCTTTACTGCAGTGCTCCAGTTTTGTACTGGAGTATGAAAATAGGACAGTTTGAAATTGTCTGGTATGTTTGTTTTTTTCCCCATCTAGTCCTAGTGTCCTGTTTTTGACAGAAAGGATGCATGCATCCTTTGTAGCAGAGAGCTCTTTTTTTTTTTTCCACACAACCTTCTTTCTTTTCATCTGAAAATAATTGGTAGTCTGTCCTTTTAGGAACATGGCCACTTGGTAGGTGTTAAGTATATTCCACAATGGGTTTAGACCGCTCTGCTCTAGGCTCAAGCTCCTAGCAGTACAATAGAACTGTTTTTGTCTTTGTCTTGAGCACAGTGAAGTGTTCCTACATAAGCTACTGCAAATAAAGGTGTACCTTCACCTACCAGTATCTTCACAGTCTGAACCTGTAAGAGTACATTGCCAGCATGTATTCATGACGTATCAGTAGTTCATTTCTGCCATGGCTGCTGTTTGTTCTTGCAAGCATAACTACCTCCTTAGAGGCTTTTCCAGGAATCTTGTGTTACTTGGGAACCAGACCCTTTTTGTATCCACATTAGTATGGGAAAAATATTTTATATCTGGCTCGTAGATGAGTCAAATCAGTATGAAACTGATGTTGACAGCTCTATTGTCTGCCCCAGTTCATTAGAGGAAAAATTGGAAGTGATTTCATTTAACTATCTAAGCCTTTGCTTCAATTCTTTAGTGYTTTCTGGACAGTCTCAGTTGTGAGTTAGGTTAGATATTCCTCTTCCTAGCCTTCATGTCAAAGCCGCTATAATAAGAAAGAAGCATTTCAGACATTACATAGAAATCATGATATTCTGGCTACCGTCTGTGTGTGCGTCACATTTACGTCTCCATAGCTGCTGAATAGTATTACAAGCTTGTCACTGTTGCCAAGTATCCAAAAAGTAAAACTAAACAAATATCTCGTGAGTTTGTCTACATTCTCTTTGCTGAAACTGTAAGGCTAGTAAAGCTCTAAATAGTTTTCTGTTGCAGGTCTTTTAAGTATCTGTACAGGTATGTATCTGTTCTTAAGGTCACCACATTATGTATTAAAACATATATATGTAAAATATTCATGTTATCTAGTATGACTAACATCTATTAAATCTGATGCCTTGGTTCTTTTACAATTATATCCCAGAATTGTCATCAGCTCTGCAACTACATATATAAATGTGTATTTAAAAAATATAKATAATATTCCAGTATCATTTGGGGCAGAAGTTTTATTTTTCCATTTTTCATGTTTAAAAGTAGTATGAATACAGAGTAAATAACAGTTCTTACTTATAAGAAGATTATAAATTATACTTGCATGTTCTTCTACCAGCTGCTCTTTGTTCTACTTTATAATGAACCATGCAGACCTGTTTCAGGAAGTTTTGATCTACAGAGAGCCTTTTCTTATGTACAGCTATAAGGAAAGTGATCTGTTTCCTTCTATGTGCCCTTTTTATTAACATACTGATTTTTTTAGGTATGGAATCCGCCCTGAAAATGTGATTATATATGGCCAAAGTATAGGAACTGTACCATCTGTGGATCTTGCTGCTAGGTATGAAAGTGCTGCTGTAATTCTTCATTCTCCACTGACCTCAGGCATGCGAGTAGCTTTTCCTGATACAAAGAAGACCTACTGCTTTGATGCATTCCCAAAGTAAGTTGTGGGATTTTCTTTGTGTGTGCTTTTCTTTTTCCTCTCCCCTATTATTGAATCTAAAAATAATTAGAGGGTAATCAGAACAAATTATAAGAGTAAGGGATATTTTATTTAAAAGAGGTTATAAAACTTTATAAACTTTTTAGGTTTATATGAGTATGTATTTAAAAGTGATTAGCTTTGCTGTGTATAACCACTGAACTCTTACGAGCAGTTCTTCCAGTGAGCTRTTAGTCTGAGTAACCATAAATAGTCTTTTGCACATATTTATTTCAGTAGCAAAGACTGGAAAAAAATAAGCAGACTTTAATTGAAGGAAACRGATTATTTCATGTACAATTTCACAACTTTGCCACTAATTGGCCRCTGCAAACTGGTACACCTGACTAGAAGAATAGCTTATGTCTTAAGCTCTCAACTTCAAAGAGTTCTTTCACATAGAAGATCAAACATTAAGGGTCAGAATTTTTTCAGTTCTGACAAGCATTTTTTTCTGCTGATGAAAACTCTCAAGCCATTTTTTCATCAATCCAATGACTTTGATTTTTTTAAAGCCGTCATAGTAATGTGTACATTTTTCAAATTGATGGCTTTGTTATGCAATCTTAATAGTTTCTTCCAGTGTTCTTCCTTTCTGTCTAGTTTTACTCATGCTATTGAACAGCTTCCAAAGTGTTGATAAGATCTAAATTTGTAATGCTTTAAACAACTTTAAAGTTAAATGGTTAAGTTAAAACTCCAATGCATAATTAAAAGTGAAATTAAGAGTGTCTTGTCCTTTGAGAGAGTTTAATAAAGCTGTATTCTCAGRTTAATCTTTTTCTTACAGCATTGACAAAATCTCTAAAATAACTTCTCCTGTGTTAATAATCCATGGGACTGAAGATGAAGTAATTGACTTTTCACATGGCCTAGCATTATTTGAGCGCTGCCAGAGACCTGTAGAACCACTGTGGGTAGAAGGAGCAGGCCATAATGATGTGGAACTTTATGGACAGTACCTTGAAAGGTTAAAACAGTTTGTGTCACAGGAACTAGTGAATTTGTAATTTTCTTTSTTTATTTACATGCTTTTTTCATTTCATTGCAGAACTGTACACCTTGATTAAAATATAACATAAAACCTGAAGGTTGTGTTTTCAAATCATGTTGGTTGCCTTCATTAAATGTACAGGTAATGATTTGTCAACATAATTAATGAAGGTTTTAGTGCCAGTATTGTAAACTGGAATTACATGATCATGCAGTCAAGCTTGGCAATTCCTATTACTTTGTGTGAGTTTGTTTTTCTTAGATGTACAAAAAATAACAAAGAGTACTGTATGAAATTTTCTTTCTATAAAATCAGATGCTGTAAAAGTGTTGCCAAATGCTTTAGCATATCAGAAGCAGGTTTATAAATATTTTTTAAACATCTCAAAATGTACTGTGACTTTCTCTGTTGCACAGGTGTAAATTAAAAACTTTTAAGCAGTTGTTCTGTAACAATGCAATAGCCATGAAATTTGAACAAATATTCACGTATGTAATGAGAATAGMCATGTCACTGGAAGTGACCCGTGCCCTGTTATAAAGGGAGGAGGTCAAAAAAAATCTTTTTTCATATTTTTCATGTCTTGTGCTTAGTTTTGTTTTTGTTAGTTTTTGTTTCATTTAACCTGAAAGGTAAGGATCAAATTGACCCACTCATCTTCTCAGCTATCCTGGTCCTGCCAAAAAATGCCACATGTTACCATTGTTATAACATAAATAGCATATGTATGAAGGCTAACTGAGGCCACTAAGTACTACTTTGAAATCAGTTAGATTTTTAGAGCTTAGGAAAACTTTATGGACAACATAGTTTTAAACACTGATGATGCAGAGATGCAGTTTTTCAATAGARAGAACTTGGAAGTTTATCCACCTTTGTACTAAACAAATTGCAAGTTTGCAGTTGTCCTTTCAGGCTTACTTTGGGGGGTTAGTGTAAAAGCATATTATTTTTGAGTATTGTATGGAAAATTTACTAATCACTCCTGGACAGTGGGGGGGAGGGGCCAAATAAGGTTGTTGACATTTTTATATTAACTCGAAGTAAAATAAACTTTGTAAGTTGCCTTTCCCTTGAATGCGTTTTGCTTGAATAAAACTATGGAAGATAAACCTAATTATATGTAGCCTAATTTGTAAACAACATAATATTCCAACAATACACACTGTGCTTCTAATTTTAAGGCCTTATGTAGTTCAGTTGTTCTGCTTGTTTTTGTGATTGTTTGAGACTGTTGTATAATTAAATGTGTTACTGAGTATTGTGAAGACTTTGGTTCAGATGTGTTGATTAACAGTAAACAATATTCCAGACACTTGCTGTTTGTTCTTTTTCTTTGCCCCTGAAAAAAAAAGCAACATTTAATTGTAGTATCAAATAAATACTACATCACTAAATGTAGGAAATATAAGAAGCAATGCAGAAACCCACTGTTAATAATTAYTGGCAAATTTCTGTTTCAACATCTATTGCTGTGATTATCATTTCTCTCCCATGTCTCATAATTTGTGTATGTGTATTTCTGTAGTCAGCCACTTAAAATACAGGTTTTCTACAGCAGAGCTGCATTCTTCTTTGACAAATTCAAATTAATCTTTCATTGAAATAACCAGTGACATTATTTGAATATAATGAATTAAGTTTGTTCTCACTGATGTAATATGGATTAGTGTGTTCTATGCTTCAGATAACAGATCACAGGTTTTCATTTTGCCCCAAGATTGTGCAATTTCAAGTGAGTTTAAAGAGGTATCTAACTCAGCTTTATTACATCATGTTTTTATGCGGTTTTATTTCAGTTTCTTACTATATTTCAGATACTGTGTCTGATTTAGATAAAAATTCCAACCCTTAAGTGCTTAAGGATTCAAAAAAAAAAATCTTGTTTGTATGCTTTTATTATGAAACATCTCAGGTTTCAGAGCCCAGTTTGGAAATTTGCAAATAAAAAGTTTGCGAACTAAAAATAGAATTGTGATGAGTAGCAATACAAATTGACTGGTGGTACTGCAGACAAACGACCTAGTGTCATCACAAGAACTATCCAATTTCTGAGCTTTAAGTTTTAAACTGGATAGTTCTGTGGAGCCCTGTGATTGAAAGGACAGAAAAGGATTCCATAGCCATTTTTCTGCTCTTGTTTCTGTGTTTTGTTGAGGCAGAACAGAAGGGCTGACTAACAGTGTGTGGCCTTCAGTCGTTGCAGGTGCAGAATTACAGTGGTAAGTAAGGACTTTAGTCTTATTGTCTCTTTCAGACCACTTATGCATGTTTAATTATTGCCAATATATTATGGTTTGTGTTTTACACTTAGATTTTTTTCATAAACATTGTTTACTGAAGGAATGAAAATAATGGGGTTTTGTTATTTTTTTCATAACGTAGCTCAAATTGTAGCCTGTTATGGCAATAAACCTATTATTGATGAAGCAGCTCTGAGCTATTGCAACTAGAAGGCAAACATTGTGGTTGTCTTGCCTTTAAACCGTTTTAACARTATTGACAATGCACTATTGTTTTATGCTGTGGATACAAATGTCCCCTGATAAATAACAGTTGATTCATCATTCATTAAAAAGACAATGTCTGTATTTTTGTGAACGACATGGTCTTGTCTTTTTTTTTTTTTTCCTCCACTTGTTTCTTTGAAACCTAAATATTTGACAATATACTTTCTTTTCTGTTTTCGATTCCTGACCAGTCAACTTTAAAAAAAAAAAACTTCATATCTGTAAAATGTGAGGTCCCTTGCCTGGCCTCTGATCTTTTGGGGGCGTTTTTGGATCCTGTGCCCTTAGAGTCACAGCGATCATCTCCACTATGTTTAAAATTTGCTAGGAGAGCAAAGTGATCTAGTACATGGTTTAGTTACTGATACTGGTGTCAGATCTCTTTTATTATCTTCAGGCTTTTTAGTGAAAGTTTTGCATCTAATTTGCTTATTTCTTTTTAACTGAATATCATTGGTGATGCTAGCTACTTGGTGTCTCCTAGGATTAAAAATAACATATGCTGTAGATGAGAGAAGGAGAAAAAAAGTCTTCACTTTATGGTAGTCTTTGCTAGTTGAGTGTGTGGTTTGGTCAGCCAAAAAGACAAATATAAAAAAAAATGTGAATAGAGGAGGAGGAAGAAGCACCCTGAATAAGTATGATACATATTAATTTAAATGGTTTGCAGTGAGTATGTTTGTCTGAGATCAATTTCACCAGCCCAAGGGTGGAGGAAAATTTTAAAATACAAAGACAATCTTTGCTGACTGCTTTCTGTAATACATGCTTCATCCTTCAGAAGGGAATAAAGAAAAAAAGACTATTCCAGAAAAAGCCCACATCTGCCTCTCTTAAGCTCGGGTGGTGTCAGGATTGATGTGCTGTTGCTGGGACTGACTACAGTGCCAAAATTTATACCACAAACAGCATCGTCAGAACTCACATTTTGTTGCATCCTGCAACAAAAGGAGTATTGAGAAGCTGAGTGGGGCATGGGCACACTATCCCAAAAGAGAAAGAAGTGCTTCAAAGACCTTCTGAAGCTTTCCAGTGGTTGGTTATGCTGTGGGCCTTTGTGTTGTGCAAGCAGTTGATGGGCCTGAATGCAGAGAGGGTTTTTTTTTCATGTTTTTTAATAAAATTGGTCTACTTGAATAGTGCATGTAAAACAAAAATGCTAGGTTGTTGATGTTCTCATGGAGGTGGGGTGTCAAAAAGCTTTTATAAGTTATTAACAATGTGTTATATGCTTGTTCCCCTTCATTTAGGCAGATGAGGTAACAAAGTATGACTCATTCTTTTAATCATTAAAAAACTGGTATGAAAGACCTTTGAGCATAAGTAACCGTAGATTGAAATTTCAGCATAAAATGACTTAAGAACTCCTGACAAATATGGAATTTCTTCTCAAATTTGCATAGAGAGAACATTAAAACAGCTCTAAAAAGAAAAAAAAAAGAAATGAGGCTTTCCTGTGAAGAGACTCTATACAATGATGGTGACAAAAAAATCTGTACCATAGCTTCCTTAAATACAGTAGGAATTTTTTGCACGTCTGAGGCAAGATCTCTTGCCTGACATCCTTCCTCTGAAAGGAAGGAAAATTCTAGCAAATTTCTGACAAAATGTTAAGGTTTTTTTTAATGTATTTTCATTTAGTAAGGGTAGGGAGATGGATTTTAGGTAAGGTACTGCTAATTAACAAAATGTCATTATAGTTGACCAAAACTCTGTGAAATGGTTCCTTTCTACAGAAACTAGCACAAGTAGGTTTATTCACTCAGATATTTGGGGCATAGTTGCTCTGAGGAACATTCAAGTATTAATGAACATTCAGATGTTCATGTGTGGACATCTCCTTTTTTTGTAAGTATGTGAGGATTGTCCCACCCATAAGAATGTTTTATAATAATTTGTTGTTCTTCTATTTAAACTTTTGTCTGTTTAAGCCTACTTGGAACCATGATCAATACCATATTAGTTTGAACAATTAGGTTTTATAAATAACAAATCACAGGATATAGTTTGTATACAGACTACAAAGTTTTTAAATAAGCTATCTGATTAATATTTTCAAATAAATACTTTTTCATATATCAATATCAGTTCACAAAAGATTCAACTAACTGGCCTACCGTAGAGATACGGAGATATCTGCAGAGTTTTATTGGAGTTAGGGCATCATTTAGGACAGCACAGAATTTGATTCTTGTCCATAACTGCATTGTATTTTTCTGTGGTCCATCTATCTGTAGTTTGTACCTATTGGGTATAACTAAAGTAACAGTTTTGGTCGTGAGAGGAGCTCATGGACACTTAGACTTCTGTGGAGTGGAGCACAGGTCTGTAGGCACGCCTTAGCCTTGTCTGCATAGCAGTTCTGTTTCTTGGGAAGTGCTCTGTTTCCTCAATCATTTTAGTTGCCATTTTCTGTGTTTACTATTCTGTTTGAGAAAGACTGATTAGAACTGCATGAACGACTGCAGCATAGGTGCACGCTGAAGGAGCAGGTACATGCTTTCAAATAATATGATTAAAAAGGAAGAAACAAAGTACAGAATTTAGCACGTCACATGATAGATCAGTACTCAAACATTTTACTAATTTTAAAAGTTCAGTAGAAGGAAAAAGGAGGTGACAGTGAATGTAATGTTTCTGTAATCAAATCATTAAGGAAAATCACTGTTAGAAGGACATACATGGAAAGAGAAAACATCTCAAAAGCAGATTTTATTTATTTAAACATTTAAAGCAGTAAAACAATGATTCAGCATGGACTTAAGAGCAGTGAGGAATATTCATCTTTAATTTGTTACCGAGGTTCTCATACACACTATGATAATATGGGTGGTGTGTTTTTTTTTTTTTTTTTTTTTTTTTTGACTAAGAATGTGAGTCTATGTAGTTAATTACTGTAGTAGTCTGTTCCTTTGGTAACTTTTCTTAAAAAAAGGTATACAAAGTGCCTTAGTACCTCAGTTAATATTTTTCCCCTCCTTTCATTTTAACTACTAATGTTTTATGCCACTGTGTATACTGAAACAACAGGAACACTGACTTTATAATAGAGAAGTGAAGAAGCTTTTGGCTTTTGACCAGAATCACATGTTGCCAGACTGCTTACTCTAATAATTGGTATTGTAACAATTCCGTCATTAAAATAATGTGCTCTGACGTGTAATTTGATAACATTACTCCACCTGCAAATATTCAAAGTCCATCTTGCCTTAACACAGCATTTCTGCTTTTAAGGCGCTGTGTGGCAGTTATCTGTTCCTCTGCTGGACTCAGTGCCCAGGAGCAATCTTATCCATGGAGAAATCTCTCAAACTGCTGCCAGAAGTGGCTAAGACTTCACCAGCTGCATACTATATTCTGCATTTCAGTTGTGTGGAAAACCTGAGACAGGAAGCAACTTTTTTGCAGCTAATAGTCATCTCTTCCCACTTTCATAAGTGAAGGCTGTTGCCAAGAGAAAGGATAGGGGGAAGGAAACAGAAGACCACAAAGGCATGTCTCTACTCCCAAGCATTTCTCTCTCATCTTAGGTGGAATAAGAAAACAGGAAAGAGAGAAAGTGGAAAATATCAAGGTCCCGKTGGGGAAAAGAAAAAGGTGATGGAAGGGAATAGAAAATGAAAGGTACAAASATCGATCTGAAAATATGAAAAGGAAAATTGTGGTTAGGTAAAGGAAGGCCACAGAAGAAAGTAGAATTAGATGAAAAGGGGAGATACTGGCAATCTGAAAATATTGTGACAGAACTAGACAAAATGCAAGAAAA